GCAACATACAAAAGTGAGTTTTTGATATATTTTTTTCAATCTTCAGTTTCTTTTTACTACCAAAAAGAAATGATTATTATTTAACGTTACATAATCATCTTTAAATTCTTTATTTTTATCTTATTTGCATTCTATTCTTGAGTGTACTTATTTCTTATTTAGTCCTTTTTTTTCTATTGTCTGTTGGCTTCCTTAATTTTATCATAGAGTTTTCTTTTATTAGCTTCACTTGTTTCTCGTTGATTGATCATCTCTTGGTTTTGGTTGATTGTGTGAAATGGAGGTTGACTTCCTTAAGAACTCTTGAGAGCACTTGAGAGAAAAAGGGCAAGAGAGAAATCCTTACACAAGAGCTAATTTAGAGTAAAATGAGAGTGAATATCTACTGAGTGAAAACACTTAGCGAGTTGATAGAACTTTTTTTTTTGCATTAACTTTTATTGTTTTGTAGAATGTCTTAAGAAAGAGGATCAAGTAAGGAGAACAATTCTCCCTCACAAATTGAAAGACTTGCACAAAGATTTGAAAGAATGTTTGAGAAACAAAATGAAGCACGTGATCATTCTCCACATGCCCATGAAAATTCTAGTAATTCTTTAAGAGAAAGAAGAAGAAATAGGAGAGATGATGAAGAAAGGAGGTATGATAAAAGGAGAGATAATAGAGAGAGGAGGAATGAAAGGAGGAGGAGAGAAGAAGATGTAAGAGCAAGAGCAAATGAGAGAATTAGTAGAGTTAAAATGAAGATTCTTAGTTTCATGGAAGGAATGATGTTGAAGCATACTTAGAGTAAGAATTGAAGATAGGGCAAATATTCTCATGCCATGATTATAGTGAAGAAAAGAAAGTAAAGGTGGCTTCTCTAGAGTTTTATGACTACGCTTTAGTGTAGTGGGATCAAATTCAAAGGTACCGAAGGAGATATGACGAGGAGCCTGTAGATACATGGATTGAAATGAAAAACCTAATGTTTAGGAGATTTGTTCCTACATACTACAATAGAGAGCTTCATACAAAGCTTCAAGGTTTGAGGCAAGGTGAAAAAAGTGTTGATGACTATTATAAAGAAATGGAAGTTGTCATGATAAGAGCTAATGTATTTGAAGAAAGAGGATGACACTACACAAAGAGAAAATATTTTTCATTCAAGATGCTTGGTACGTCGAAAGATTTGTTCTCTTATTATTGATTGTGGTAGTTGTACCAATGTGGCTAGTGTTAGACTTGTGAAAAAATTAAACCTTACTACTACTTCTCACCCTAAGCCTTATAAGTTATAATGGTTGAGTGATGAAAGAGAGTTAGTTGTTAATAGACATGTTTTGATTATTTTATCAATTGACAAGTATGAGAATGAAGTCTTATGTGATGTAGTGCCTATAAAAGCAAGTCATATCCTCTTGGGAAGGCCTTGGCAATTTGACAAGAAAGTTATTCATGATGGTCATTCTAACAAGTTTACGTTTGTACATAAAAGGTGCACAATCACTTTAGTGCCCATAACTCCTAGTCAAGTACATGAAGATCAAAAGTCATGAAGCTAAGAAGAGAGCAAGAGAAAAAAGAAGAGAGAAGAAATGAAAAGAAAAGGAGTGAGTTTGAGAGCAAACTTAAAAAGAAAAAAAAAAGTGAAGACACTTACAAGTGAAAAATATGAGAGTGAAAAGAAAGGTGAAGAGAAAAATAAATATGAAAAGAGAGAAAATTTATTTGTGAGAGGAAAAGAAGTGAGAAAAGTTTTGTTGGCATCTCAGCCTATGTGTCTACTTTTATGTAAAGAAAGTTCTCATAATAAATTTATGGATTCCTTTATTAACAATATTTTGCCTAATGGTATTTTCTCTCTTCTACAGGATTTTGAAGATGTCTTCCTTAAAGAAGTATCTTACTGCCTACCTCAAATTACAAAGATAAAACATCAAATTGAAAAGAAAGTGGAGTAACAAGCAAAGTATATCAACAAGAGAAGAATGAAAGTAGAATTTGAACTTAGAGATTAAGTTTGGGTACATATGCGCAAAAAAAGATTTATTGTGCAAGGAAAGTCAAAGCTTCAAACAAGAAGGAATGAATTATTCTAAGTCTTAGAGAGGATTGAAGATAATGCATACAAAGTAAACTTTCTAGGTAAGTATGGGCTTAATGTTACTTTTAATATATTTGATTTATCTCTTTTTGATGTAGGTAATAAAGAGTCAAATTTGAAGACAAATTCTCTTAAAGAAGGAGGAATTGATGAGAATCAAGGAAGATCCATTGAAGACAAAGACTTAAAGACATTGAAATGACTTCAAGGACCAATGACAAGGATAATGGCAAAGAAAATAAATGGAGACTTAAAAAAAATTGTTACTGTCATAATTGAAAGAGAGCTTAATTTGGAGTTAGAAAAGCCCAAGATGGTTAATTACATATGCTTAGAGAATTTGGACTCTAATAAGTTTTATTAAGATTTAATTATTATGTTTAGTTTATTTATTTTAATATTAGTCATTACTTATTTTGTATTTTTATTTAGGATAAAATCTTGTTATTTTATTTATTTATTTGAATTTAAGCTTGTTAGTACAAAAAGTTCATTAGAGTTTGTGTTAGTATTGGTTTACAAGCATTAGACATAATATATAAGCTCTTGTAAACATACTTTTAATTAGTTTTGAATACAAATTGAGATTGAACACTCTTGAGAAAGCGTGTGACTCTAAGTTTTTGTGTAAGTCAATTTTTTTTTTATCTTATCAAGAAGTCAAGACTCTTGTGACGATCGTTTCTTGACTTATCAATCTTGCGATTGTAGTGTCATTTTCTATCTCTATTCTATTTTTACTTTTTATTAATTTTCTTATTTCAATTCTTATTTGTGCCCTAATAATTTCATTTTTATCATGTGAAATCCAATTCAAGATTATTTAATTCAGCAACACGATTTGTGATCACTCGCAGTCTATGGTAGATACTTTGAGTAAGCTTGGAACCATGACTTGCAGTTTTTGAAGGTTCAGATGACCCAATCGTTGATAAAAAAGAACAGAGGAATCGATAGTCGAACAAGCAATTAGAGCTGGTGCAGTAAGATAATACAGTCCTCAAGATTCATATCTTACTCTAATCGTTTGTTCGACAGTCCGATCCTGCACAAGAATGGAGTTATTAGTGAAAAGAACTGAATAAGTGGACGAACAAGTACATTTATTGACGAAAATGAGATTGAAAGGGCAATTTGGAACAAATAAAACTAACTCTAAAGAGAGACCTGAGATAGGGCTAGTATTACCAATGCTAGTGACGTTGGTTTAAGAACTGTTAGCTAAAGTGACAGGAGGAAGAGAATCGAGATAAGTGAGTTGTGAGAAAAGGAAAACATTACCAGACATGTGATCAGAGGCGCTAGAATCAAGAACCCAAAGACCAAGAGATGGAGACTGGGAAACACAGGTAATAGGAGTACCTGTTTGTGCTATAGAGGGAACAAGTGGGTAGGCTGTGGGGTGGTAGGTGGATTTGACTTTATGGTGGCTCTGTATCAGAGATAGTCCTAGTATTCTAATGTAGGCACAGGAATATGAGAAGGTATGGTAGGGGCTGGAGATGGCATGGGGGCAACATTCACACTAGGATTCTGGGCTCTAGCCTTGGTGCGACACTGAGCTTTAAGATGGCCAAAACGCCTTCAGTAGGCACAGCAAGGAAGCGGACAAGAATAGGTATTACCATGTCCCCTTCTATGACCGTTAGGAGGAAAGGAGTTCAGCAAGAGTGCAGTGGAATCAAGAAGAGTAGTGGGAAGTAGGGTTGCCGCAAATGGTTAAGGAGTGGACATGCATAGCAGTTGCTCAGAGATAGAATCAAATGATAGCACTATAGGACTAGAAAGAACCTGATTGCAAACAGAGTCAAGTTCTGGAGGAAGGCCATGAAGAGCAAGCACCATGAAGAATTCACTCTGCTGTTAGGCATGCTTTTCTGCATCACTAGTAAATGGAATAAGAGCATTAAATTCAGTCATCAAGCTGTCAAGCTTACCTAAGTAACTTTGCATATCCATATCCTGTTTCTTAATAGAGATAAGGTTAGCAATGACCGTATAGAGACAGTGAACTTTATTGGAATAAACTCGTTTGGCCTTCTTCCAAACCTCATAGCAGGTTTTAAATGGACGATATTGTTGTTATAGTTTGGCATCAATGGAGAACTAAAGAACACTACAAAAGGAGGCATCAACTTGCTTCCAATTGTCTCGTTTGTCCGCAACAATGTCTTTAGCCTGTATTGTGAGATGGTCAGAGCAGCCTTGTCCTTGGAACCACCAAAGTTCAACAGCCGCTGCCTAAGAGAAATAATTTGGAGCACCAAGGAGTTTCTCACAGGGTATCAAAGGCACAGTGGTGAAGGTCATAGTAGCACTTTCGGAGGTGGACATTGCAAGAACACGAAAAAGAGAGGAAAAAAGCTATAAGAATGTACCATAGAAGTCGCCAGAGATGGAAAAAGGGTAGAGAAGGTCGCTGAAGCATAACCAATGTCGAGAAAACGAGATATGCAGATGAAATGTGGCGACACATAAAGCGTACACGCAAGGACTGCGGCGGCGCGTGAGAGCACGTGCAGCAGCAGGTGGTAATGGTGAATAGTCGATGGTGGTTGCCAAGAGAAAACCGTCCTGATCACAGCCTTAGATGGCCGAAAAAGTTAATAACAGCAGAGATCAGGGCTAGATAAGGGCACGGTTATTGTAGCAAATGGAAAACAGGTGTCGGATCGAAACCAAAAACTGATACCATATAGAATTTGATACTTAAATGTGTTTTTCTATATATTGCATACAACCCAAGGGTCTGAATTTATACATGTATAAGATAATCTACATTAATTATAGATTATTACCTTAATAAAGGTAATTCTGATATCATGCTATAATTATGCTATTTTTCTGGCCTAATTACTATAATTACATATCAATCATGCCTAATTACTATATTTATATATCAACAATCTTGATTACACAGTTCTGCCCTCATATCAACAAGTGCAACATCAGGGATACTCTAGTCTTCAAGAAATAAGCCTTGGTCCTTAAAATTCAATGGTCTTAGGCTCCAAGACAAAAACCAAGAACATTGCAACTAGAATCAAGACTTAAACCCTTTGAACCCTCACCCAGTTGTTTCATACCACTAGATGCTGCAGACGTTGAGATGTCACTCAAGCTGTTTTCTTCCAGCCAATCGATGGATATATAACAGGATCAATACCCTATTTGATCTAAAAATTGAGAATCTCTTTGGACTTGGATATTCATAAAGGATTTTTAGTTCAAGAGTTCCTTATAGCAAACCCCCTTCAGCATTGACTAATATGGGTGTTTCCTTTTAGCATAATCCAATGTGAAAACTGTATTCTGTTAATTTTTCTTTCTAGTTTGATCAATTACTCAGAAAGACAACAGGCTGCATGAACCTAGCATTAGGAGGAAATCGTATGAAGCCAGTTCAAGTTAACATCAACTCCCGGAACATCTATCTTTAGATTGGGAAGCATAGGTTTGAAAGCTTCCCATGAAGCAGCTGTCTCTTCATCACATATCACGACTTTCAAATTCTCAAGACTAGCGACTGAGAATGGTAGTTCACACTTTGTACAACTTGTCATGTAGAGATTTTGTAGATTAGACAGATTGCCAAAGTTCTCAGGTAAATTACGAAGGTTTATGCAATTTGAGATATCAATAAGTCGTAGATTTGGAAGCCTTCCAATAGAATCTGGTATTCCTTCCAAACCAGTACAGGAGCTGAGCCTTAGGAGTTCCAGATTCTCCAACTTTCCAATTTCTTGGGGCAGTACAGAAAGCTTGTGGCAATTAGTAATGCTGAGCTTCTTCAGGGGGGTGATATCACACAGCCCCTTAGGCAATTCTACCATATCTTTGCAATAGTCAATATTCAATTCTTCTAAATTTGGAAAAGCTTCTGAAATTAGCATCTTAACATTTTCCAAAGCCTGTCTCAGATTACACAAGTAGAGTGATATCTTTTTAAGATTCTTCAAAGTGACAAAGGAAGGAACAGATATCCGCTCTAATCTGATTCTTTCTAGGTTGCGTATAGAGCCAAGTAGCTCAAAATTGTTCATTTCAGAAGGATGGAAACTGTAATTTGTGATTATCAGAACTTTAAGTTTACTCATTTCTTCCATGAACTCAGGAAAGGAATACTGCTTAGTTTGAAGATTCAAAATAAGAACCTTAGTCTGAGCAGGTTGCATATGAGATAAATATGGAGTGCAATTTTCATCTGCAAACAGAGCCAATATGCTGTTAGTCGTGGAAGAGTACTGAATGACATATTACTGGGACATTCTTATTATCATCTTTTATACTTAAGTATAGAGAAGGTATAAATATGACGAACCAGTTGAGATAGACAGTATGTGGGCAGGGGCCTGTGGGGACTTCAGTTTAACACACCATTCAAGCCATTTTGGAAATATGCCGGCCATCACACCTTTCTGCTTCTTCCCAAGCCACCACTCTCGTTTGTTTCCATTTATGTCAATAATCAACCTTTTTCTTTGCTCCATTGGTTCCTGATTATTTTGATAAATTGCAAGCTCTCTCAAAAGATCGTGAAGGATGATGAAGTGGTTATTGTAGTAGTAATTGTCTGTGTCACTAGCATTTTTCCTGGTAACTAAGCAGACATTAATTCCTTAAGAAAAATTCCTTTACAGGATCAAAAAGGAAATGCTCTTTATCAAGAAGAATAATTATGAATTTCAACTTGTTCTCTAAAATAAGTTCATAAGAATAAATGCAGAGTTACAGAATCCAAGGTGTTTGAATTCTCTCTGAGATAATGATCATTTTGGAATATTGTATCAGGAATCAAATGCTCCTCACATAAGCCATACAAGTCATTGAATTATTTGTTATGCAGAGTATAAATTCACGTCATTTGTTATATATATTAGGATTAAATGGCCTGGAAGAAAATATAGTCAGTCACTGTACCTTGCTACCAAGACATTAACCAGATTCATGGAGTTTAATTTGTTGATGATGGTCATTGCATCTATGCCATCATCATCTAGTCTATACAACTCTGCCCACATATCAATGAGAGCTGTAACGGGAATTCTTTGGTCTTCAGGAAACAACGCAAGGTCCATGAAGCACTCCTTGATGATATTGATGGGATTATCTTCCAAAAGATCCAAGATCCTTTGGAGGCAAGTAAGTAATTCCATATCAGAATCAAGTATAGAATGACCTTGCGACAATTCCTCCACCATCTTTTGCCACAACTCAGAAGGATGATGACTGAGTGATCTCCCAATCACTTTGATGGCAAGTGGTAAACCCTTGCAGTTTCTCACAACCTGCATTTCAGTGCAACCAAAAATAGTCAGTAACCAAATTATTATGATTTAAGCACCCCAAGCAGCAAGTAATCTACTTCAAGTGATTTTCAGTCAAAAACTACTTCAAGTAACTGACTTCAGACAAAAAGAACAAAGATAGATAACTCTCTTATGTCACAAAATAGGAATAAGCACCTTTTGGACAAGGTCTTCATCAGGTATACTTGAACTGCTTTCCTCCAAGAGAGCATAATGATGGAAAAGGGTCATTGCATCTTCATGAACAAGTGGTTTTAAGATACAATGGGTACCCAATCTATGAAATGCAACCCTAGAAGTCACCAAAACTTTATAATCTGGTATCTGGACTTTAAACTTCTCAACAAGGGTTTCTGAGCCAGGCCAAACATCATCCAGGACCAACAACATTGGACTTCCACCAATTTGCCTCAGCAAAAGTCCCAATTGATTAAATGCATTTTCATCACTTTGAAAATCAGGCACAGGATATCCACAGTGTTCAAATAGTCTTTGAATAATAATCCTCAACTTGGGCGTTTTTGAGAAGGTGACAAATAAAATATTTTCCCCAAATTTACCTAGAGAAATCAAAAAGATCTGTAAACACACCAGATTCGATGTCTTGTACCAACATTTGAGAATGCATTATGAAAGGTATTCATTTTACAGTGTGCATATATTGCAACAGAATAATTTATTATTACAGACAACAATAAGGTTAATGAACAATGAATAGAAAATAAAATAAAATAAAGATCAAAAGATAATGCTTCCTTAATTTGTTAAAGTATCAATTGCAAAGAGAGAAATATTAACAACACACTGTTTTTAACACATTCTTCAACATATTCCTCATAATTAGTCAGTCTATTTTTTAAAATGTCAAAATACTTCTCTCATAAATTGGTTCCTTTTTAAAAATTACTTTTACTTTTTAAAAATTTGACTAATCACCAGAAGTGTATTGATTGTTGAAGAATGTGTTTAAAATAGTGTTCAACTAGCATTACTCTTGCAGGGAATAGCATACGTCTTTATGATGATATTTGGACTACAATGAACCCTCTTGTTCACATATTAACTTCTCAAAGGATAATTTGCACATGTTTGGCAACAATTTCTTTTTTCTTGGGAAGGGGGGTGGGGTCATTGTTTTTAGTTAAAAACTTCAATTACTTTATTAAAATAAGTTGAACTAGACATGCGCTAAACATCACATAAAACTTCAAGGCATACAAGAATGGCATTGGATATATGCAACTTTGTAATAATTTTCTGGCACCACTTTATATTACTATGCTTCTTTCAATATTAAGATATGAGGAATGCTAGCAACACACTCTCTAACTCACATGATTTTTGTAGTTTTCAATAAATTTTAGCTAATAGTGGGGAGGAGGGGGAGGGGAGGGAGAGTGTTACAAAAAGTGTGTTAGAATGTGTGTTGCTAACATTATTCTTAAGATATTGGTGATATAAACTTATACTAATGATGACAAAATATTCTATACGAAAGAGACAACATGCGAAGATGTTATGAATGAGTGATGAGCCATTTTGAAATCTCTAAAAAAAGAACTAGTCAAATCATTCATCAGGCTCAGAGAAGCAAAAAGGAGTCACTACTTACCTTTGACTTGTTCATCCCAACACAGCTTTGTAGCCAAAGTTGTTTTACCCATTCCTCCCACTCCAGTCAACACAATGATGGATACACCTTCGTTGAGAACCTCCATCTTCAACTTGCTTAACGGTACATCCAACCCAACAGTGAATTCTGGATTTTCAGGAACACCAAAAGGACACTTCATTGGTGCTCCAACACCACTAAGTTTCTGCTGATAATTCTCTTTACTAAGAAGCTCAAGAATTTCTCTCACCTTGCAAAGTGTCTCTTTAATATCATTTGCCATAAGAGCTTGCTTGTCATCAATAGCAAAGGAATCATCCCTCTTGTGCGCAAATCCGTACAAAAGGCAAGAGAGACATTTTTCCCAACAACAATTCATGGAAGAGCTTTTGCACACAAACTCTTCCTTTGCATCTTTCTCTTTGATAAGGTTGTTGATTTCTTCTCTTGGTGGATTCAAGTGTTCATTGTATTGCTTGATCTCTTCCACCACAGGAGTCATATCCTTGAGGGTTGACCTCAGTATTTGTTTGTTGCTTTCGCTCTTTTGACCCTTTTCCACTATTTCCAAAATCATCTTCAGTCTATCTTGAAATAGTGTTCCAAGGGCAACACACTGCGTGGTCTCTCCCATTAGTACTTACTCTATAGAATGGAACAAGGAACAAGTTATGCATAGGATTAGAAAGTCTACGTTGTTGATGAGCATCTTATATTGAAAGGATAAAAATATAACAACAGTCTTTAAACAATGTCAAACATATCTTTATTGTTAATTAAAAAACATAAAAATCATGTAAACTTCATTCCTATTTTAACGATTTTTATTTATATTTTTTAATTAAGTTCACATAATATGCTAAAAATAATATGGTAAAGAAAAGAGAGAGTTGTTTTACCTTCGAAATAACCACCAAAGCTTACTTTGAATTAGCGCTTTTGTTTATGAGCAGAATTGAATTCTTCAGTTGAAGGAAGAGAGTGAGTTTATGACGAGGATCTCGGTTAAAATATTTGAAAATTGAACCGCAGCATAGGCAATCTTGTAGTAGATTCCTCCCAGTTGCTCTTCTTCTTTCGATTTGCAAGCTCAGATCTGAACTTTACTCTGCTTGAAGTGCTAGCCAGGTTAGTAAAGTTACGTTGTCATTGTTATTTAAAATAAAATTAGTCACCGTCTATTTTTTATGATGTGATATTAAATGTTATTAAAATCTTATACTAATAATTTTATATTATCAGGCATTATTGGTGCAATGCATCATCTTTTGCCGTTATTTTTTTATTCACAAAGGCTGGCATGCGGTGATAATCATAATTCTCTAATATCTTAACAACTTAGTGCTTTACGTATTCTATGAGCGGAAGGAAATCAATTTTTAATCTATTTTTCTAACGTATATTTAATTATTTATAAAATTTATTAAAAATCATAAAAAAAAAAGTATAAAGAATTTTGAAACTAAAAATAGAAAAAAATATGATTTAGATAATTTTTTTATAATTTTCAATAAAGTTTAGTTAATAACTAAAAATGTATTAAAAAGCGTTGCTAATATTCATTTTAAGTATAGTCATAAAAAATAAAAAATAAAAAATATTTATTATAAAATATACAAAAATACATTAAATTTTATAATAATTTTATTATTTCAAAAATTATTTTAAAACACTAATTATCATTTTTTATCGAAGAAAATTTATTACAATTATAAAATCATGTGAGGTTTATTAAAAATATTTAGTATTTACTTTTAATTTTTTAATTTTTAATAAATTATAACTAATATTAACATTATAAAAAAAGATATTTCACATTTATACTAACACTTTTCTTCATTATTTCAAATATTTTGTCAGGGTAAAGCATTCATCACTCCTTTTGTCAACGGTCCTAATCTTTTTAATATTCAAACATTACATAGGTATGTAATTAATTTGATTTGTGATGAGTAAAACCGTTATCCATAGTACAACATTTTATTTTAAAACATTTGATTTTAAAAAAAATATTTAAAAACTAAAATTTAAAAATTATCCCAAGGAATAATACTTTAAAAATGAATGAAATTTAAATTTTATATAAATAATAAAACCAAATTACTTTTAAATATAAATATAAAATTATATTATGTCTAAAAAAACAATGTGTGTTTATTAAGAAGCATTTCTAGTTGCCGCCGTGATTTTGAAATAAAACAAACGTCAATTAAAAAAGCACAAATGTAAACGAAACATTCGAAGGAAGAATAAGGTAAAAAATTGTAAAGAAGATATATGTTAGGTCACCAACCTTAATAAAGCAAAACCGTAAAGGAGATATACAGGGAAGTTTAAAACACGTTAGGTATAGGTTACCAACGCAGCAAAACACCTAACGGTCAAATAATAAAGCCGAATTATAAAGAAGGAATCCATGAACATTAATTAAAATAATTCAGGAGACAGGAAGAGTTTTTTTTTTTTTTCTTTTCCTATTTCTAAAATTATAAGTTAGTGTTAAAATAAGCATTTAGAGAAGAACATCAATTGAAGCAAATTATAGGCGAATAAATTCAAATATTAGCTATTAATTTTCCAATCAAAATTATTATTTCAATTGAATAATTTAATATTGCAAATAAGTCTAAAACGAGTATAATGTGTGGTAGACTTTTTATTCTAAAGTTAAATATTTTTAAAAAAGAAAATAAGCTAAAAATTAAGGTGATTAACTCTAAGATGTAAAGACTCTAAAAAAAATAATTAAGCATAATTAATATTTTAATTAAAAAAGATAAAAATAAAAAGATCCCAATAAATATATGCCTTTCTCTAAAGTTTTAATGGATGAGTGACATCATTTAAGTAAAGGACACGAAGTCTTGCTACAATGTTAACTAACTCATTGAAATTAAAGGTAGAATATGTGTTCTTCACATGGAGGAAAAATGACATGGATAATGTTGGAAGAGAGTTAGAAAAAAGGGTTGGAATCTGATATCTCAGCAGATTTTATAAAAATGTTGGAACAGATAAAGTTCTAGAGCATAAGGAATTTCTAGGAGAATTCGAGTATTGGTAAGTGAATTTCATGGACAAAATTCCTAAAAGATTGAAAAAGTTGTAACACCTCGAATTTTGATAATAATAAATTGATTATTAATATAAGTATGTGTATTGTTAATTGGGTGTACGTCCTGATTTATGTTGGTGATGTGAATGTGTGTGTATATAGATAAATGTATGTGAGTGTTGACTTAGATTGACTGAAATTAGTTGGAAATATAAACTGAGGGTGAATTGTAGGGGGTTCTCGCTGTAGCGAGAAGACTCTGAACGAAGAACATGAAACTATGCTGTTCTCACTGTAGCGAGAGGATTCTCGCTGTAGCGATAAGGCACTGGGAGAGAGGGGTGAAACTGTTGTGTTCTTGTTGTAGCGAGAGTTCCCTCGCTGCAACGAGAGGGCAACAGTGGATGGTGCATTTCTGGGTGCAATCTCGCTATAGCAAGATTCTGCAAAAATCAGAGTGCAATTTCCTCTGAGATTTTCATTGTAGCGAAAGAGGGTGTCGCTACAGCGAGGTCTGTAGCGAGAGTGTCGCAACGCTTTGTGTATTTAAGGAGTTTAGGGTTAAGGAGAAGGCATTTCCACTTTCTCTTTTTGTTCTCTCATTCGATTCTCTCAATCCCTAACCTTTTTCACTGATCAAATTGTCTCTTAAGCCATTTGTGCCCTAGATCGAAGATTGAAATTATGTTTGGAACATTTGGAGGTAAGTATTTTGAGTTCTTGGTTTTTACCTTTTCTTCATCTATCTTGATTTCTCGTGGATTATTCCATATATTTAGGGCAAGAATTCGTGTAAGAGGTATTCCTACAGTTGATTTTGTGGTAGGTCTCCATTCTAAGGTAAGGAGGAGTTGATCCCAAACCATAACCTCTCTTGGGTAGTTTAAAATGGAAAAACTCTTACTTATTTTAATAACTATCTAAATGTAACTTGTAATAAAGGCTTTAAATAAATCTGTCTTTGAGGAATATTACAATTTTACCAAGCAAACAATGTTTAGAATTAGTTAGGATGTGTCATTTGATGTTTTTGGAATGATGGACTTATTATTAATAATAGATTATATCAAACTTTAGGATAAACGACCTATTACTAGTACTAAGAAAATGTGAACAATGGATTGTACCATTGGGCTGAGTCTGAAGGTGTCCGACCTCCGACACATTGTATTGATTGTGTGATGATTTTTTGCATTGGATGAATATTTTTTTATGATTGAGGTATGTTGAGATTGGTTGAATTAAGTTGATGATATTTTCGTGGTGAATGATATGATTGTATAGATGTTGTTTGATAGTTGAAGTATGCCAGATGAACAAAAATGTGTTATTGATGCAAGTGTTTGACTGTTCCAAAATAAAGAAAAAGTTTTCTGGTTGACGTGACATGATGGTGGAATTGTGAGAAAGATGATTATAATACAAGAGTCAAAATATATGAGTGGATATGATTATAATACAGGTATTGTGGTACGACCAGAGGGTGTACTTATAATATATGTATTATAATATACCGAGTTATGTGGTCAAGACTCATATTATGACATGTTGCCCTGTGAAAAGGGTGTGGAAAAGAATGAGAAATGTTGGTGGTGAGTTAGTTAGCTATAGAGATACACTAGAAGTATAGAGTCTGGAGAAGATTTGAAAAATCTTGAGGAAATAAGGGTGGTGAATGCTTCGTGTGAACAAGTGCACAATGATTTGTTGAAAGTGAAGGCATTCACAGGTCACACACTTATTTCTGATGGGTCTCCTAACTATACCTTTGCTAAAAGGGGCCAGGACAGCACACGTGTATCTATGTTGCTAGGGTTAACCAACAGCTATCTAAGCTATGAAGTCCTCAAGGGATCCTAGGGGTATTGGATATGAAAGTGAAATAAATGTGAAAGTGTGATGTGTATTAAGTAGTATAACAGTTGTATGATTATAATATATGCATTGTAACATATCGGTTGATGTTATTATGATATATATATATATATATATATATATATATATATATGACTGGACCATTCCAGAAATCCCTCAGGACACATTATATGTTCCTAAAGAACATTCCAAGAAAAAAAGTTTTGATTACATTATTAAGACTGTTGAAAATAATATTCCTTTAGGAAAAGATCTAGGAGAAGAATTTCATCTCCTGTCCAAATCTTCCATCAATGAGCACAAGCGAAAATACAAGTACTTCAACATAGGATGTGTCCAGGTAGCCATTAAACCTCTCATAGACATAGGAATAGATGCTGCTATCCTCATGTGTCTTAGAAATGCTCGCCATAATGACTTCAACGACTCCCTTATAGGTACTGTTAAAACTAGTCTTGGCCAAGGACCAATTTATTTCAATTGTTTTCCCAACAAAATTGTGAGTCTTCTAGATGACCATATCCTTGACTCTCTGTTCCTCAATGTTTGCTTTCATGGGTTAAACATGAAAGAGGGATCTATTTCCGCAACTCTAATCTATAGGATTCAGTACAAAGCCATGAACTCTTGTGCCTCTAGAGTCCTTCTCAAACCCCAACGTGGTGAGACTACTTTATTTATCACTGATATAACAAAGGCTAATGTCTCTCTTCCTAGAATCATCAAATGGGATGAAGTTTCCTTTCCTGAAAAGTGTGTCTTGGATAAGGCTTCGCCTTGTGTCCCTAGGCTTGCTCCTTAAATCAAAAATATTTCTCAGGACAATTCTGGGAAAGTTGAAATAACCTTTGATAGGAGAAACTACTTCTCTTCTAGAGTCAATGCTTATAGTGGTCGTTCTAGTTTTGCCTCTGCTAGGAGGTCTTTCTCTTACAGATCTCAATCTTCTAGGTCTGAAATTCCTAGATCTATTAATCATGATCCTTCCATAAACCTTCAAGGGTTAGACACTTCT